CTCTGAGAGGTTTACAACAGTAGATGCATATTTAGAAATAATGATTATAATTTAAAACAGAAATGCAACTCATCTCATTATAAGAGACCTTGGCTATTGGGCACTACAGAAATCAGATCAATGATTCAAGATCGATAACCTATGTGCTTTCTCCTCCATCACTAATGGTTGCTGGAGGACTCTGAAGACTCCGTGCTTAGAGGTCTTCATTGTTCAGACTGACTTAGACTGGGCAGGGCCTTCAGACTGAGAACTGCGAAGGGTTAAGTGGGACATGTGACCACCTGTGGAGCTGTCAGTGCTCCTACCACTGTTCTGATTCGATCTGCAGCGGTGATACGGATGCACACAAGTTCTCCCTGTTCCGTGTCTCCCTTTAACATCCCATGAACATGTGTGGTGATTATACTCATTTTTATACTGTAAAAAGTTCACTTGCTACAAATCAAAACAATAGTTAAAGACACAGTATTGCAGGATGTTGAATAGCTGGCACTGGTGATGAAGCGAGATTCTCCTGGAAATGGTCTCCTTGGATCATCCAAAGCTGCATGCTTATTTTTCTTTCCATTTATTTTTATCTGCCAGTTTGGACTCTCAACATACCATGTTCGATTAAGTTCAGTTTGCAGCAGAGCTACTATCTCTACAATAAATGTTCTAGCTCAAGCAAAAACATTCCTTCTTAGAGTTTCTAGCTAGTTACTATGCCCTCTTCAGGTTTATGAAAGGCAGAAGCGGAGAAAAAGTGGAGGGCATAAAGAGGAAATGGTGTCAGACTTTCAGTTTAAAAAGAGATGGAGAGCTGGATTCATGCACCAATTAACTTTTGCAGACATGAGAGATGTTTGGGAGAGATTCCTCACATGAGGCACTGGAATCATACATGCTGCTGTATCATCTTTTAGCATCATAACAGGAGGTGGAATTTTCCATACCCACAGGCAGAATTAAGCTCTTTTGTCTCTGGAAATTTTACAAGTACAAACACAGATTTAGATTTCAGGTGCAATATTGCCTGAACTACCCAAGTGTGTTACCCAAGAGGAAGTGGGAGAATCTAAGCAGTCCCAACTCTCTGTTCCTGTTAAATTCACCTCCAATTTGGCCTTGGATTGTTGTTTTTGTATTTTATGTTGTCTTTAGGTAGTAGTTGCGGGGAGGGGTCCCCAGGTCACCTGTTATAAGTCTTCTCCACTAAAATGAGATGTACTGTATTTTAATTTAAATTGTAATAATTACTTCTAAATTTGCATCAACACTTACATGAATATGCCCAAGGAGCTTTCATGCAAAATGGTGTTATCTGTTTTGATGAAGCATAAGTACATGTCCTATTCCTGCATAAATATGCATAGGATTGTGTTACCAGCAGCTTCATTTAGGAAGGGAAAAAAAAGAGTTTTCTTTCAAGCAAATTAGGGGGCAAGCCTATGGCCTTCTAAACCTAGTCTAGAATTTCGAGCCTAGCTCGAAATTTCCTAGGTGAAAGCTGGGGCTCCTTGGGACATGCCCTCTTCACTATTACACCCAGTATGGCAAGATCCATACGGGCTACAGCTGCAAAGTCCGAAGAATTACCTCAAGTCTAGCATGGGGAGGGGCTCCAGGGGGCAGGAACAGGAAGAATGAGGCTCTACTAAGATACCATTTCATTTTTTTACTAGGTGGACTGTGGGAGTACTGTGGACATAATCTATCATGACTTCATCAAAGGTTACAACAATTAAAACAGAATAAAATACAGTATACAAACAGAAATTACAAATAATAAACATTAAAAGAAGCATAAAATGCACAGTACTGATAACATACCCCACAGTTAAAAGACTACTGGTTTTAGTAATTAAAACACCATTGGAAGAAAATTGCCTTCTGGCATCTAAAAATGTCTTCTGGTGTGTTACCTGGCACCTAAAAGAATGTAGAGAAGGTGCCAGGCAAACCTCTCTGAGGAGCTCATTCCAGAGTCGGGGTGCCACTGCAGAAAAGGCCGTTCTTCATGTCCCCACCCTCCTTATTTCCTGAGGAGGGGGTGCCTTCAGAAAGGCCTCAGATGCAGATCTAAGGTGCCAGGTAGGTTTGTACAAGAAGAGGTGTTTCTTTAGATACCCTGGTCCCAAGCTGTTTAGCCACTTAAGCTAGTGTTTAAACACCTTGAATTGGGCCTGGACCTCAACTGGGAGCCAGTGAAGATGGTAGAAGACTGGCTTTATATGATCATACCTGCCAGTCCTCGTTAAAAATCTGGCCGCCCTATTCTGAACCAACCAAAGTTTCAGGACTATCTTCAAGGGAAGTCCCATGTAGAGCACATTGCAATACTCCAGGTGAGAGGTCACCAGTGCATGGATATCTGTTGTCAGGTACTGTCTGCCAAGATACAGCTGCAACCACTATATCAGCTTAAGCTGATAGAAGGCGCTCATGGCCACCAAATCTGTCTGGAATTCCAGGGATAATTCAGGGTGCAGAAGCAACCCCAAGCTGCGAACCCTGTCCTTTAGGGAGAGTGTGACCCCATCCAGGCCCTTCCAAGATGATCTCCATCTTATCTGGATTAAGTTTCAGTTTATTAGCCCTCATCCAATCCACTACTGAGGCCAGACCCCAATTCCGAGCATCCAATGCCACAACTGTGTCTGATGGAAAAGTAGAGCTGAGTATCATCAGCACATTGGTGACAACTCATCCCACACCTTCCGATGATCTCACCGGGCGGTTTCATGCAGTTGTTAAAAAGCATGAGGGATAAAATAGAGTCCTTTGGAACTCCATGGCATAAATGCCATGGTGCAGAGCAATAATCACTCAGCACCACCTTCTGGACACGGCCAGTCAAGTAGGAGTGGAACCACGGCAAAGCAGTGCCCCCTACGCCCAACTCACCTGTCCAGAAGGATGCTGTGGCTGATGGTATCGAAAGTGGCTGAGCAGTCCAGGAGAACCAACAGAGTTGCACTAATTAATAGATGCTAGTGGTGATCAATAGATAGACTAAATTAGGTCTAAATAAAGAGGCAGTGGCCTGGGCTGGCAGAATAATGGTTAGCTAAAGGAACTAAGGTCAAAAATGTAGGGGTCAAGGAAAGGAATGCCTTGTACTTAGCTAAGTTGACATCAGCAGAAATTCATTCTAAGACAATCATGAGATGAAGACTGTTAGATCAACTTCCCTATTTTATATGAACTGCTGCCTTTTGTGCTTGCAAATAACCTTTTTATGTCTCTAAACTTTGCTCCATATTCTGAGCTATAAAATGTCTGTGTAAGATGCAGAAGAGAAGACATCGTTCAGTTGGTGAACGTGTAGCACTGTCAGGTACTTGCCAATAAAGGACTTGTGGTCTGAATCTCAATCATTTGCTTGGGTTTCTATTTTACAGAACTGTTTGCTGCATAACCACATGTATTTTAAATTGTTACACTGTTATATGTTTTGTTGAAAACAGTTCTGAGAGCTTTGATAACTATGAATGGTATACAAAAGCATTAAATAATATCAATCAATGAAAATAAACTGCTTTCTTCCATATCCAGAGTCATCTAGGGAAGATGAGAATTGTAGCCCACACAACCAGAGGATGCTGGCTTGGAAAAAAATTGGCTTTATATAGAAGAAACAAAGAAGATGAAAAATGAGGAACAATACAATTGGCTGCCACATCTTTCATGCCTCCTACTGCTTTTATCCACACACAGAGTGGGGAAAGAACCACCCATGCTGGCTGCCCTTGGATCTTTGAAAAAAGAGCAAGATTAAAATATCCCAAATAAACAGTATGGGGAAACTGTGCCAGACACACACTCTCCCATTATTCTAGGAGTATGATGGGGAAAGCCTTGGGAGCACTACTTGAACAGAAAAGTAGGTTATTTTAGTTCCATGGCATGAAACAATGCCAAATACTTGCCCATTAATTTGCTGCTAAGGAGACAGGTACAGGCAGAGTTTCAAAGCCGGTAACTTTAAATCTGACCTGCCCCTGACTACTATGTTCAATGCCAGTCCAGGATGTTTGGCTGCATGAAGAGTGTAAACAGCACCCCCTGTGCCCGAAGTGGAGTTCAAATACTGTGTCTCCCTCCCAGGTAGAGCTCACACATTTCAAAGGCCATACTCTTCCATTCAGACACTGATTCCTGCTTTCATCTATTCCCACCCTCTCCCTCCCAGTATTGCCCGAGGCAAGCAGCTTTCTCCTGCTGCATCGTGCTCCACCTTCGCGATGCAGAGAACTACAAATCCGAAGAACAACAATTAAGCAACGGAGGAATGTGCCCTTGAGCATGTACAGAGTGCCAATCCAATTTTACGGTCAGCTGGAGGATGAAGAGAGCGCTTCTGGGCAGGCATTCCATCTTCAGACGAGGGCTCTGTGCACGTGTCTGAAGAGGGTGAACATCTGCGAGGAAAGTAGGCTTTGACTGTCTACTTTCAAGAAGGGTGTCCTTATGTCGGGCACCCTTCGCCGGTCTGTAACCAGGTATTCCTTTTCTACTTATGTCTCTACCACGTTTCTCTCTAGCTTTCCTCGGAGGAGCTGAAGATGGTCCCCTTCCATTTTACGGGTGAATCTGGCCCTCTACAGTTAAGTTTTACGGATTGTCCTTAAAGCGGGGACCACGCGTGTCGTAAACAACTCCCGCTACCATAGTAACCGAGCTCCCAGATTTCCGGCCACCGCCATTAGTCGTAAATCCCTCCGAAGGCCTCCTAGGGCGGGGTTCTGCCGCTCTAGCCGATCATCTCCATGGTGGAACTGCTTCCTCGGCTCCCTAAAAATAGAAAAAGAAAAAACACGTTGGCCCACTTTGGACTCACAATAAACCCATCGGGGAGTGCAGAGTGGTTGGCTCACTCTGCGCGTCCTCCTCCCTGCGGATACGCGACCGCACTTTGGAGCTCGTCCCGGAACGGTCGGGACGCGGGTCTGTGCTGCATACCGGAAGGCCTTGCGGGATGCACCGAAAGGAGGAAACGGAATTGACGTCACGGGGCATTTCCGTTTCTGGCCTAGGTTACGGGCGTTTCGCATCTCGCTTGAGGAGCTGTTTCTCGGCTGCTGCTGCTTTGGCGGGCTGGGGCTCCGGGAGACGCCGCCTACATGGCCTCCCCTGTGGTGAGTGAGTGAGTGAGTGAGTGAGTGAGTGAGTGAGTGGGCGGGCGGGCGGGCGATGTATTGCGAGCCAGGCAAGAATCGGAGGAAACGTGCCGCATCGATGAGAGAGGCCTTCCCCAGCGTGGCGTTCTTCCGATGTGTTTGACTACAACTCCCATCATGAGAGGCTTGATGAGAGAGGCAGTCCAACGCATCTGGCCTTCCCCAAGCTGGTATCTTCCAGGTGATTTCGGCTACAGCACCCAAGCACTCCGGGCCATCGGCCCTGTTGGCTGGGATATCGTGACAGTTGAAGTCGGGCTGAGCAAGACCGCGCGCCCTCGTCTTACGCCAACCTCCCACTGCCCGCCTCCTTGGCAGACAGGCAGGCAGGCAGGCAGGCAGGCAGGCAGGCGGCAGTTGGGGACAGGTTCTTCTCAGTGGTGACAGCCATTTATTAACTTTCTTGCCCTGGGAGGCTTTCCTGGTGGCTAAATAGCCATCGTTTCAGCGTCACGTGGAGAACTTTTTAATTTCCCCAAAACTTTAAGTGAAAGTTGCAATAACTTCTATTGTTACTGGTTTTCCTCACGTTTGAAAAGTCTTGGGTTTTTTGTTGCTTCAGTCAAATAGTGGACAAACTGTTTCCTTCCAAATGCTTTGGACTACAGTGCCAGTCTTCACTGTGCTGAATGGGGCTGATGGGAGTTGGGGAGATCAAAACATTTGGAGGGAACCAGGTTGGGTTAGTGTATTGACCATGGCAGAAAGATGTGAAGTTATATGCTTGTTAAGTCACAGAGCTCTCTGGGTTGCATGTGTCAGAAATGTAGATGTCTTTTCCCCCCCTCACTTTCTCTGTCTAACCTACCTACAGATTCACAGAACTGTGTCTGTTGCTGGTTTGGGTTCACCTGTGTACAAAGGAGCCCTTACATCATGTCTGATTTGCAAACAACCATGCCATCTTTGGTTTCTTCTTAAAATACTAGTGTTGCCATGTTGAACAAGGGATATCACAGTTCAAACGTTGGCGCTTGGCTAGGCCAGGTTGTGAATATGCACTATTTGGTTGGAGTTAAATCCACTTTTTCCAGATCCAAGTCCACATCTTTGGCCACAGTGGTTCCTGGGTGCCACAAAGTTTGCTGTATTTGGGCTGGACAAGATAGAGTCCTCTTCTATGTACAGCATACTTCTGATGGCCTTTGATAATCATTTCACTTAGCTGTGTGCTTTGTTTGTTTAGGACTTCAAAACATATGTGGATCAAGCTTGTAGAGCTGCTGAAGAGTTTGCAAACATTTACTATGAAACCATGGATAAAAGGAGGCGGGTATGTCACAGTTGTTGTTCTGCTTACCAGGTTTTTAAAACGAGCTACTCACCGTTTTTCTCTAAGTATACCCCTGAACTCCTAACTTGCCTCATTTTTCTTTCTTGCCTGTGTTGATGTTGTTTAGAATATTCCATGTAGTGGTGGACATGCCTTTAGAGGATCCTGTCATTTTGTCCCATAGTTCAATCCTATGAATGCTTCTCTCCCAATATAATCATTCAGAATTACTGTTAGGAAAGTGCATAAGATTGGAACCCAAGATTTCAATTTTTTTTCAAAGAAACCATAGTTAACATTATCCTTTTTTTGAAAAGAGTCTTCATGCCTTTCCTAACAGGGAAAAAAGCAGAAAAGTTGACAGTCTGAGCAAGACAGTATTCACACATGACCCTCCTGGGGCACTGGAAGTACAATTGCTCCTGAAATTCATGTAATGTTTCCTAATGTTTCTTAGGTGTTGACCAGATTGTACACAGAAGATGCCGCACTAGTTTGGAATGGAAATGCAGTATCTGGGCAAGAAGCACTTGCTAAATTCTTTGAAATGTTGCCTTCTAGTGAATTTCAAGTTACCACATTTGATTGCCAGCCTGTTCATGGTAAGCTGTGTAACCAAGCAAACAAATTGACAAATCAAGGAAGATGACTCCTGTTCTTTACAGGAGGATGTGTGACAGTACACTCTTTACCAAACAAAAAGCAACCCCATGCTCCTGTACCATCTTTCAAAGTTTCAAAATAGATCAAAATGCCAAAAATGGCAGAACAGGTTTGCTGCTGTTGTGTATTTCTTCTTAGAAAACTGCCCTTAATGTCGCTTCTGAGATAGCGTGTTGATGATGTCTTGATCAGCTCTGGCCTGTTTGTCAATAAAACAGCTAGTGGCATTGGCATAATCTCCGGATAACAGGAAGGCACTTTCAGAAATATCTCTGTAAATTAATTGTGAGGCAGAATAGCTCTTTTTTAAAAGTTCACAGTGCTTCATCTAACTCTTAAAAATTAATTAAGCTAACCTGCTGGCATTGTGTGTATAAGCAGGATGTTGGGGAGGTAGCATGTCTTCATATGTTTTTTTTTCTTTCTTTCCGAAGAGCAAGCTACTCAAAACCAAACCACCGTCCTAGTTGTGACATGTGGAACTGTCAAATTTGATGGGAACAAGCAACAATACTTCAATCAGAACTTCTTGCTAACAGCACAAACTACAAACAATAACACAGTGTGGAAGATCATGAGTGATTGTTTCCGTTTCCAAGAGTGGCCTAGTTAGAAGGCCGTGAAAGGTGGGCTATTTCCCTCTGGACACAGTACTTCCGTTTTGGGGCAGTCCTACTCTGGATATGGGAAACCAACTCTTTTGGATATACTGCAGTTTTTCAGGATCAACCAACTTCATGATGACATCCATCCTGTTCTTAATCGAAGAGCACTAGCTGGGCACTCTCAACCTGAAATGTTTTTGGACAAGCACCATCAGTCGCAGGTTTTCTTTGTTTTGGTGAAAAATTAAAATGGCTGTGGCAGTCCAAGTATGCATATGATTCCTGACTAATTTCTAAAGTGTGTTCTGGAATTCAGAGTTCTTACTGAAGCTACAAGTAAAGTAACTTGCTAGGAGAAGCTTGTCTGAAAGACAAGTATATCTCTATGGGGATGATAGGTATTATTTCATGAGGGCTGCCCTAGAAACCATTATTTGTAAGAGATTCTGCAGTGAGATAAGGTTGAATAATTTCTGCTGCAGAAAAAGAAGATGAGGGAAGTTTTCCTCTAAACTTGCAGGGCAGATCTTGTATGAGGCAACTCTGTATTTCATAACTTCACTTAAGTACATCGACGTGTTGGAATGTCTTGAGCAGCTTCAGACTTGGCAAGAGCAGGAGTGACAAGGGACTGGCAGTCTGCCCCTCTTGCCATGTTGCATTTGCCAGCTCGGCAAAACAATTCCCTCCTTTTATCAGAAGACAGAGAGGCCCGTGGGCAGCAGGAAGTATGCAGCATCTGTGCTCTGCTCTCCACTGTAATGCCCAAACTCTTGGGGGTGTGGTTTTTCAGGTTCTGGTGTTTCCTCCTCCCACATTCCTGTATCAAGAAACACTGCTGGGTCAAATCTCATTTTCTTCATGCAGTGCTCATGCTGACCCAAGCTGCAGTGATTCAGACGAAATCCGCAACTGCTCCGGTCCCCTTGGAGTTCATCTCCCATCACTACCACCATCAAGCACATCCATGCGAAGTTCCATCAGGACTTGCTCCTTGCAGAAAGTGGGAAAGGCCGCATTGGCACACTCCCTTTTTATCAAGGCAGTGAAATTACCTCTCCTGTTTCTGCAGACAAATCTTACGCTGCCGGCCTTCATGGAGAAACGCTCCTTGCTGAGTGCATTCTGCCAGTTATAGCAGAAAGCACAGTTCCTGCTTGTGGCTTCACGTGCAGGACAGTTTCCCACGTGAAGGAACATGGCAGCCTTCCCAGCATTGAGAATTTAGAAGCATTGCTTAGCTCAGGGTGGATTAGTGAGACCTTGGCCGGCTGATCTTACCAAGTCCTTAATGCTCAGGGTCATAGCCTTGTTTTCATATCAGAATTTAGACAGGAGAAAAGAAGCATTTAGTATTAAACTTCAGGCATATTAAATGGACAGCACTTTTGATAGTAACAGACTGACTGGCACTCGACTAATTTATCGCGCCATTGTGTTGGTGCAGCTGTTTGCCTCTGTGCCGTTGAGGTGTGCTGTGTGGCAATGCTCCATTCCTTAATCTGGCCAAAAATGTAAAATCTTACTTCAAACACATTAGGCATACTTTTAACATGAATTGGAATTCCAGTAAGTTTGACGCAACACACGCATCAGATCCTGTGTGAGCAGTGATTTGGGCTTTCTGGATCATTTTTAGTCATTTCCGCTAGGGAGGTTGGGCCTTCTATTTCATCAGCACTATTTATTCTTTTCTAAAAACTGGTTAAAACTATTGCATGAGGTGGTGATGTGATCGTGTCAAACCCTTTTGTCTACCTACATGTGTAAGAGTGTGCGTCTAACGCTGGTCTGGTTCACACAGAACTTCTGCTTACTAAACCCTCCAGGAGCATCCCAGCCCTGGGTTATTTGCTGTGACGAGTACCCAGCACTCTGGGTTGTTGAGGGAGAAACTAAAATTTTATCCCACAAACCACTGGCTGCAACTCTAGTCTGTTTCTCAGCATCCCAGAGTGCTGAGTTCAGAACAGGGTTTTCCTAGATTGTTGAGCAAAGTGGAAGTGGGCAAGCAGTTATGCACCAGAATGCTTGCAGAATCAGTTCTGGGTTCAGGCATGGTGAGCAACCCAGGATTGCTTAACCCAGTGGAAGCAAACAGGCGCCCACACACTTGCAAGCTCCTCATGACTGCAACTGCCCATGGTTAAACGGCTCACGGGTAATTGTGTGAACCTGGCTCAGTAATCTCAGATCCATGTGGGAAAGGTGAAGTTGCAGCCACAAAGCTAGTAGTACAAAGAGTTTTACCTCTCAAGTGTGCTAGGAAGCCGATTAATTCCCTCGATGCCACGAACACTGAGCAAAGCCCGCTGAAGTGAGATTCTATGAATCCACAACAAAGAAAGGCAAAGATTTGAAAATTGTCCCTCAGAATCTGCTGCTGAGCCTCTTTTCCAAGGAAGCCTAGGAGCTGCTTTACCTACTAGCAACAGAAGAATTTAGGATCATAATCTCAGGATGGTGGAATAGCTTCCCAATCTTTTCAGTGCAGGGTTTTGCTTTTGTTGTATTTTATTTTGCTATCAATACGTGCATCCAATTACTTGCAAGTGCAGAAAAAAATCAAGATCTCCCAACTAAGTCTTACGTTTGCGCCAAAGTCCATAAACGTTGCAAGCAGGAGATGTCCTAATAGTCTGACCTGATCTCTCCCAAATAAATTTTGGATTTCAGGCTGGCCTGCTAATCCTCTTCCAATTCTTATCCGCAGGAAGCAACACACAGCAACTTGCTGGATTTGTAACTATATGGCAATCTTGGTACATGCTGGATCGGGTAAGAGGAGTGGAAAATGCCCCCCTTTAAAAAGTGACTCGATATACAGAGAACGAACACTGCAGTGGACTCTTCCTTAAGTCTCTTTGAGATCCGCCAGATCGCTTTGGCCGTAGCTGGAGCCAGAATGAGAAATGGGGAAGGTATTGGTTCTCTTTGGGATGGGAGTTTTGGGGTTCCGTGGCTCCTTAGTCTCGCTTCGCTTAGTCTTGCAGCCCGGGGCTTCCACGTGGCTGCTCCCTTTTTGTCTCGGGCCACTGCAGCCATTGTCCCTTCCTCCTCCATCTGTGGCCTGGACAGCTGCCGGAAGCACTTGCACCTGTGCAGGGAGGTCCTTGCTGTAACCACTGAAAGGTTCAGGGAGGTCCTTGCTGTAACAGGCAAAATGCAAGAGGTATTTTCTAAAGCCATCCTCTGCACCTTTCCCCATGGCTGGCCCTCCGCCGAAATGTCAGCAGCCCTCCGCTGCCTCCCAGAGCGCCCGCGCGTCCCGAGCCGAGAGGCGATCCAAATCAAGCCGCGTTTTCGCAGGGAGGGCGTCCCTCGGCGACCGCTGCCGCTCCGCCTTCTGCACCCAGCCGTCGAACCCCGCACCGGCGCCGCGCCCCTCTCCACCCGGGCCACGCACTGCCGGCCGCCCATTCAAGCGCCCGGTCTTCCCCTGCCAGCCTGGCAGCGCCCAGGATCGCGCGCAGGGGGCCGGGCGCCGCGCCCTCACGGGCGCCCCTCGCTGTCCCCGCTGCTCCGCCGCTCCTCGCGGGCGGCGGCGGGCGGCGGCGGCGCGCCCTGCTCCAGGCTGAGCTCCCGGGCGGCCGCCCTTCTCGGCCCCGCCGCCGCCCAGTCGTGCTCGATGTAGAGGTGGTAGGGGTCGTGCTTGGACTCCAGCTTCCTGGAGCGCGTGTAGGCCAGGATCAGGCCCCCCGCCAGGCAGCCGTAGAAGATCATGATGAGCAGGATGTACAGGTAGGCGTCGTCCGCGCCCGCCCGCCCGCCCGACGGCGGCGGCGGCGGCGGCGCCAGGGAGGGCGCGGGGCCCGTGCCCGGCGCGCC